GATAACTAAAGCCCTTTCTTCCCTTATTGCTCTGTGCTATAGCACATCGTCCCGGAGAGAAGGCGCAGGAGTTTGGTGACAGAGAAGCAGGTGACGGGAAGAAATGAAAGGGCAGATAAGAAAGTGTAGAAACACTCCCCTTCCACAGCACACTTTTACCTTGTTTGAAACACTTACCTTCCATAGCACACCTTTACCTTGTTCTTCCCACATCTTCAAAGAGCAGAAGCCAAAGCATTTTGTGAACTGTGGAGTGCAATTCAATCCAGCGCAGACGGGCAGTGAACTGTGGGGTTCCAGAATATATGCTAGCTGACACTACAGAGCTGAATTTTACCCGGGGCCTTAAAGCCATGACCGAGTGGTGAGAGTATCGCCATCTCCATTTTACAGGAGAGAAAACTGAGGTGCTCTGTATCACAACTGGATTCCTAAATCCTCAGGGAATGTATGGGTCATGGGATTAGTAATGGTTTTGGGTTAAGCTGTTAGTCACTACTAACAACTTCAAGTGCAGCACCGAGGGGGAGGAAGAATACCTTCTAAAACCTCTAAGAAGAAACACGCTCCTTCATACAACAGGAGATTTATGAACTGAATTTGAACTGATAAGGGCATGACCTTTTCTAGGAAGGGGCATACACTCCTAACCCAGAGCTGGAGTCTTTACAAGCACTACCAATAAAGACTATAGATGAAGAGTGATTTATTACTCACCAACAACTTTCTCAGCATCTTTATAAGCTACAGGAGGTGGGTATCTACCACCATGAGGAACATCCAGCTCTAAATAGCTAGCAATGCTGTACAGCTAAGTGCTGACAGCCAGAAGTCACAAGAGAAACAGCGATCCACAGCTGAATTTCCATAAACTATGTTCCCATTTAGTTTCAATCTCAGTTAAGCATTTCACTGTGGGTGGGCTATAGGCTGGACTCTCAGAGCAGTTAAGACACAGTACGCATTGCATACAGCTGCCTACTGGAGCTGCCGTGCCAAAATTTGCACCAGCCCCGCTTACAAAGGCAGGGGTGGGGTGGGAGACGAGGAAAAAGGTTGTTTATTTCTTACTGTCGGCATGTGTGTGGTAGGGGGAAAAGCAACAAAACCCAGCCAGCTCAGAGCAAAAGGACGGGTCAGCAACGCCTCGCTGATTCAGAACACTGCTGAAAAATGTGGTTTTCCGAGCAGGTCACTACTCGTGTGTTCCCCAGCTCTGCCACCAGCCTCTCCCTTTGAGCTCAAGCATAAGAGCTATACCTCATGGCAGATCTCTACCACAACCACCACAGCCTCCTTTAGTCCACTCATGCACCCACTGCTTGCATTCACAACCAAGCACCTTTGTGATTTCTTTTGCATTGCTCCAAAAACTCGGAGGGAACCCAATAAAAATATCTGGAAAACCGATTCCTTCTCCTTTGGAGAATCATCCATGTGAACTCTCTGGAAGAGTTGAGTTACACCGTCACTACTGTGTTTCCACTGCTGGAATGATACTGTCTCCTTGATATCCTCCCTCTATCTCGATCTGTTACCTAAGTTCATATTTAAGGTAGATCTGCTAAGGCAGTGACTATCTTCTGGTATTATGCTTATGTTATACCTGACACAGCGGCGTCCTATTCCATGAGATGCAAAGAACTGGTAAGGCATTTCAATAATTTCTCTCCTTACCAGATTCAGATTCACACCAAAGGCAATATTGAGGATCTCAGTGTTTTACACCTATTAGTGATTCTATAAGCAATCACCTCCTGGACACTAAAACAGAATTCCTAACTTATCAGAGATTTGCCATTAAGAATTTGGGGCAATTTGAGGATAGCAAACGGTTGCAGAACATACCCTTCTGGAGCCTCCCAGACTATGAAGTGGGCAGCCTTCCCCTGAGACTCCATGACCTGCCAAGTAAAAAACCAGTCAGAAAGGACATTCATTGAGTCAACGGCTCAAGACTCAAATCAGAGTCCCAGCTGCATGCCACATTCCCTCCAAGACTTATCACTGATCTTGCCTACAGCTTCTCCCATCTTTAAAAAGGGAATTACAAACCTTTCTACCTCCCTTAATCCCATCTGTTTAGTTTGTAAATTCTCCAGGGCAGAGACTGGTTTTTATTTGTGTGTACAGCACCACATACAGCAAGGTCCTGATCTTGGCTAAGGCTCCTAGGCATGATTGAAATACAAAGAAATGACGGTATCTTGATCAAACATGAAGAACTCAGATAAACAATAGAAAAGCAGCTTGGTATTTTTTTTTCCTGCAGTCTCTGCTTTTCCGTGACTTGTTTATTCATCTCAAAGCCTCAGCAGACATCTAATCAAGCTGTTGAGTCAGATTTGTGGCCAGTCAAGCACTTAGGGAGTTGTTAAATGTTCAAAACCAGTTCTATTTAGCAAACAGGTTTGTTTTTTTTTTATTTTAACCCCCTTCTAGATAGCGGTATGGTTTCTTCACTCACTGTATACTCACCATTTTCCTATTAAAATTGCATCAGGGTGATACCGTAACTTCTCCACTAAAAGGTCTCATTAAGTTTTGGGTAGGGACACCTGACTTTTTTATGCCTATCTTGTTTGCACTTTTTGGTACTGATCCAAATCATGCTACAGTTAGACGAAGCAATGATTTCAGCAGGCTTAAGAAAGAAGGAAAAATGTGATAGTTTCCAGATGAGTGTATTATACTAAATTTAACATGCCTTTTGGTACTTAGAATTTCCACTTTTCCCCCTTCCATTTATGTAATTAGAAATCAAGCAGCAGGAAACTATTCCTATTCCAACCTCAGTTGGGAACAGTATGGTCTCATTCCCACAGAGGGAAACAGGAGACTTGTCCTCACAAGGAGATATTTTGCACAGCTTACATGGACAGGTTCAAAAATAGGTTTTGAATAATACAACTTTAATTAAACTAAACCAAATACAGGCTCATTACGTGCTAGTTGTATATGCATCTCTCTCAACACAAACAACAAGAAGCTAGGCAGCTGTGAAAAACAAAAAAATTAAGTTCCTACCCCACTTAACGAGCAATGACAAATTTTAAATTCCACTTTTTAAATTGCACCATTTTTCCACACTCACCCTAGTGGATTTCATATTAACACGCAAGAACATTTGTTCCGATTATTCTCACTCTAGCAGTAAAGGACACATTGTGAATCGATACCTTCAATGGTACCCTCTGAGTTCCAGGGCCAGAAGAACCACTTGCTCACGGGCCACAGCAGATCAGACAAAGAAAGAATTAACTCTGAGAAGTCGTATTTGAACCAAAGCAGAGAATACCAGGGCAGGACAACTCATTACCAGGGACACTAAATAAAAATGGAACCCATCACCATGTCACAAACAACACAGCGCTAGCTAAAGCTCTTTCTGCATGTTGACAGTCGTTATATTCAGAGCATTGCTATTGCTTTTGGTTCTCCTGTTTCATACCCAGGTTGATGCTTTTCTCTCCAGCTGAACGCACTGGCTTACCAGGCCGCTAGCATCGCAGCACACACACACACACACACACACACACAGAACTCAATAAAAACCGTTTCCAAACCACAGAGGAACTATGGCTCCAAAGTACATAGTTCAAATTAAAAATCAGGGCCAGATAAAATGATTCAAAATTGGGAAGAAAGAAAGAGATCCTGTTTCCAATAAGCTGTTTTGACCTGACTGCTGAATGCAGTCCGGCAAGGGAGGAGGTGGAAAAACAAGGACATGCTCGAGCAATGGTCCTGGATGGTATCATGCTTTGACAGTCTTTAATGCTGCTCTGGCATTAAAGCTATTTTATTTCACAAGTCCATTGCTCTAGGCGAGCTCTTCAGCTTCTGTTGACTCTGGGCACAGCTCAACATGTTTCTTCAGTGTGCGAGATCCACACACAAGTGCCCAGGGGGATGTGGGGTGCAGGACTGCTGTAGCACCCAGACCAAATTTCAGTCCCATTGCTCAGTAAGATAAGGAGTTTCTCAAGCTCTCTGAACTCAGAAGACTGCCTCTCAGCCCATCCCCTTCCTTTTTTGGCACGGTTTAATAAAACAAATATTGTGCAACTTGTTTTCCATTGTGTTTTCCTTTCTGGAGAGGAATCCTTTTGTCACTCTTCCATCTGCCAGCCCATGTAGCAGAACAGGCTTTCAATAAAGGAAAGCTCCATATCAATCTCTGCCATGCCCTTTCTGTCTCGGGAGACATGCATTTACATCTTGTGCTACATAGACAATATGCAGCAAGCATGGGAGAAAGAAAAAGAGGTCCTTGAGAGCCATCTCAATAGCTAGAAAATTGTGGCGAGTAAAGAAGCGGTGAAGACAACCTCTCGAGTCAGGAGAAGGGCAGCAGACTACATGCCAACAAGTAATTACACCGACCAGGGTAAGCGTAAAGTAGAAGGGAGTACTTGGACCAGTGACTTGCCAAGGTAATAAAGAGCTTTAAGTATTTGTGACCCATTCCCAGACACTGAAACCTGTATATTCTCCCACAGAAGAGGGGTGAAAAAACAATCAACCTCAAAGGTAAGCTCAGAGCCAGATGACATGTGCATCTGTTTAATTCACCCACTATCCTGGGAAGTTTCAAACTTCGGTCACTCTATGACTCTAAGCTACAAGAGCCAGCACTGGCTAGCTGCATCAGTCACACAGTTAGGATTTGCCCTTTTGGATTCTGCCTCTTTGGAGAGGACAGAATTCCAATTTTAAAGGGCAACTGTACAAACAGGACATAGGAGTATTTATATTCCTCTCCAAACACCGGCACAAGCAGCAGGGGTCTAGTGGGTTGATTTATGAGGTGGGAATGCTTCTTTGAACTGTATTTCAGATGGGGGTTGCCTTTCCAGAGCGGAGAGGAACATATGACGGCTGTCTTTTCTGAAGAGCTCTCACAGTGGCTTTTACCCAGGTGGTCACAGCTGCTAGGTACTCAAAATGAAGTCCTCTCCTTCCATACTCTCTCACTCACATACAAAGTCAACACACCAGAGAAGGCCGTTTTTCTTTTATTTATTTCCCAGAAGAGCTCTTCCTTGCACTTTCCAGACACGATACAAAACAAGCAACAGAACTTTGTTTCATGTACAGAAACAGTTTGTTGGAGTATAAAGAGTTACTGGTGATCGTTACTGAAGAATGTTGGCTTATTCCAGGGGCACTTCAGTATTCCTGAGGAATAATCATTGATTTCTCCTTCCTTCCCACTGGGATAGTCTTAGTCATTAGTCACTGTTCCTGTAAAGCAAGAAGGCTTGTATTATTAAAAAGCCATTTGGGTTCCTTACATGGAAGGTGCTGCACGATGTAAAGCAAGCCACTTAGCTTTGTAGCATTTCCAGAAGGTAGGCTAACATTTTCATCCTTCGCTAGACTGAGAAGTTGAGTATAGAGAAGTTAAGCAGCTATTTTCATACCAGAAGCATGCCGTGTTCTCATGCATATAAGCCTCCATTCTGATAAAATGGGTAGTTCAGAAAAACCCAACATTATTGTTCAAGTTAACTATTCACAGATTGAATAGAAATCAGATAGAAATCAAAGCCACAAAGGGCAGGAGGAAAGGTTCCAGTTGCCAAACTTCTTGTATTGTTGCACATCAATATAATCCACATTGCAATCAAAGTACAGGGTTGTGGTTTTGGGGGTGATACATAATACAGGCTAAATAAGCTGAAAAATATGATAGTTTCCATTTTGCAAGGAAACCTTAGGCCACGTAATTCTCAGCCATACTGTTTTAAGCCTTGAAAGAATTGCTAGATGTTGATTTTAAATTCAGCTGAAGTCACAGTGACATCCACTTAATCAAATCACTTGAAAAGCCCTCAGAATCTTATGACCACAAATTAGAACTTTTCTGCATTTTAAGTAGTCTCTCGGCCTAGATGAATGGCTCTTGCATTGGTGTTAGTGTTTCATGATCAACTTGCTAACCCAAAGGATGGGCAGCGTGATGATTCCAGTTACGGCTAGAACAGCTGCAAAGTTGCTTTGTCATCTCCTGATTACTTGGTATCATGAAGGTCCTCTGTCCTCTCTCATTCTCACTTAAAATTCAGAATCAAGAACTTGATCCTGAAGAATCAAGAATCCAGACTGAGTAACCTGGTCTGGTTTGAGGTCAGACTAGATGAGCTCCTCGAAGTCCTTTCCAACTTGAGTTATCCTGTCATCCTATGAACTTGATAGGTTTGGAAAACTAGAAATAATTTTGTTCAAGCTAATCCATGTTACATTTCTCTCTCTCTCTCAGTAAAGCCAATGTTCTTGCAGAAACTCACATTTTGACAAATTAGCATTTGAACAGAAACTCAGTTTTGTAAAGGAAGTCCTATGGAGTTTAGTTACAACAGTATTCTCCAGAAAAAAAAACAGATGAGTGATAATGCAACAATATTTTCCATGCTCCTAACCAACAGAAATGAAATAATTTTGTTGTAATAACCCTGGAGCCATTATCCATGACACGACATTTTGGAGAGAATTAATGACATTAACCATTAGATGGCTTCATCCGCATCTTCCCTCTCTCAGCATGTTCAGCTTCTTTGTGCCAGGGAAAGCTAGTGGAGACAGTGCTCTGGAAACTATTTGTCTAGTCTTGTGCCATGCAGGCAGCTGCGCTTCTTGTGTGAAGTGTCCTTTCAATTACCTCATGCTTCGAAGGACCACCCTTGCTCCAGAACACAGATTAGTCCTTAATCCAAACAAAATCCCTTACTAGGCTGACCTGAAAGTCAGTTTTCTGTTGCCCAGCATCCCTAGTAACAAGCATCTCTGAATGAACAATGTTTCCTCAGAACATGTGAACAAGGCATTTACCATTCACATGAAGCCACGGACATGTCACTCCAGCTTCTTTTTGGAGACATAAATTGGAGGAATACTCTCAGGATGGTGTGGAAAGCTAACACGTTTTGATGATAACAAATCTGGCCATAAGAGTCATGCACAGACTTTTGATTGTGGGCTGTAGCTAGCTGTGTTGTATCAGCTGCATCTAAGTCACAGTTTCTCTATACTGCTATCCAAAATATTTCATTCTGAAGTCGCTCAAGAATCTTGTTATTGTTTCCCTTTCTTTACAGGCAGCTGAAGATAGTATTTGCAAACAGTATTTTGCAAGAAGTATTTGCCCTACAGTCTGGTAGGGCTGCAGAAGGCTGACAAAAGCTCATCTGCCAGTAAATCTAAGGAGGACCACCCAAAACTTACAGCTCTAGATACATCAGGAAAAAGCCTAAAAACACCTTCAGGCCTCCTTCATCAGGCAGACGAGCGGCACAGGAGCAATTTTTGCATTCCACGTACTCGCCATGAAAAGCTCCTGGCAGAACATTTTACCTCAGTACTTTCTGAAGTGCTAAAATAACTATAAATATATCCTGGTGGATGCCTCTCCATCGGTATCAGTGAAATCCTTTTAGCAGTATATGGCTTTGTGGATCCAAAATACGCATGCGCACTCCTTTTTTTCCCCAGATGCCACAATGATAAATCACCATAAGCACAGCCCCAACTTTTACATGGGAAGAAATAAAGAAATATTAATGGAGTCGGTTTGTGGACTTAGTGCATTGTAGGCAGTTTGTGAGCGCACAAAGGGTTCCTGCTAATTAATCTATTTTTAAATATTTTATCTCAGCATGATCAATGAAAATACTGAACGAATTTAAATTATCCTCTTTGAAACTATTGAAGGTGTACAATTTCTTCAGACTAATTATTACATTACTATCCAGGCAAACAAGCCACAAATCAAGCGATTAGTGTCTTCATGTTGCAAAAAAAACCCAAAAAACCAAAAAACAAACCCCACAGAGGATCAAAGATCTGCTTCCACAGGTAGATCTACCTGATGTGCCTGACATGACTTTCAGTTTGTTCCTAGCTCATCTCTTTCAAAGTCTGAAGACAGAATCTCACCATTAGTTTAGCTTTTCAGCTTTTCTAACATGTATTTTTATTATACTTGTTTTCAGGTTGTGGGAAAACCTACCTGCAGGATCTGTTAAACTAATTCTATGTTACTGCTAAACACACCAGATACTAAGATTTTCTAGAGGAGGGGAACCACCTCCACTTTGGCAACACAAGTTTCTTCTTACTAGTGCTGTTTTGGGAAAGGCAGAGGAATATCCATTTAAATGGTGTCTAGATGTACCCTTTAATGCTAACTTATAAACAGTTACCAATCAATAGTAACTAGTACTGATACTTACTTTTACAAATTTACCATGGAGAAGATACGGAGACTGGAAGTCATGTTGACAATTGGAATAAGCCATTCCTAACCCCATCCCTGACCCAAAAGCAATAGGCCACGTCTTTCCTGTGGGGGAAGGCAAGCAGAGAGGAAAAGGTAAAGTCAAGAAAAGCTGTTCATTTCACATGACAGTGATAACATTGTTAAATAAGCACCAAGAAAGAATAAATTACTGGAAGATGCACATTAGGCATTTTCAAGTTCTACGAGTCCTAAAATCAGCTAAAAACCAGACCGCTTCAGAAGAACAAAAGTAACAGTGAGTAAGACGTCATATTTAGAATTTCATGCAGAGCAATCTCTGAATTCAAGATATTACTGAAAATTATTCTGTTACCAAAGCATAACTGAAAAAGAATTTAGACTAGTTTTAAAACCCTGGCAAGACTGGCATATACTGATGTCTGGACAGATGGCTCCAGTCATTTGGCTCAGGGTTTCCTGCAATTCCAGAATTTAAGCTGAGCACAGTAGGAGCTTAGAGTGATGCCGCGTGTAACAACCTCGTTACACAACAGTTAAAAGTTTAGGTAACTCTATTTCAACTGGAAAAACATGACCAATAATGAAAGAATTGGTCTAACATTGATTAAGTTTTACATGCTTCAAAGATTTCCTGGTTTTAAACAGCATCTACAATGGACAGAAACGGGGAAACCTGGCAGTCAAGATTACCACAGTGTACTTACTTTTGAAGAAGATGACTGAGAAAACAATTCCTAATCCGAATCCAGCACCTGTAAGAAGAAATGCAGTGAGTGAGAATTAAGATAATGCAAAATAATGGAAAATTATGTAGTTCTTTACAGTAATTCTTTGTTCCAACTCAGGAATATCGGACTACGTCATACTTCAGCACACCAAACAAAAATGTTCTTAAATAGCAATTCTAAAAGAAACAATTCTTGTTTTCTTAAGTAACTGCAAGCAGGTAATTCAGATTAGAATCCCAACATACACATCATCAGAAAGACTTGGGAAACAAACCAGACACTCATCCCAAGGGAAGTTACTGAATTTCTGTCACCATCTACAATGAGGAATTAAGATTTATTTGGCTTATTGTCACCAAATGAGAAACACTTAAGTGAAAACTTATTGTGTCCTTGAGCTTTAGATTTTGCAGATTAATATCTTATCGTATTTCGTTTATCTTACTACTTTAACTACTCCAATGTGTGTCCTGAGGGCAGCAAAACTTTGATGCTTTGTGTTACCCTATACCTGGCAAAAGAAAGCTCTAGGCTGCTTATCTTTCACATCCACAACATTCATTATGGAGCGTATTTAAACACATTAGGAATGAATGACTTTTCACATCTTTATACTATATATAAAAATAACTGCAGCAGTTGAAAGAAAAAAAAATTATCTGGCACCATTAAAAAACTCGGCTGGCATACTTAAAAATAATTTTTGCTTTCCTTGGAAGGTGCACTTACGATTTTTTGCAAGAAGTCAGGCAAGTCTGCAAAAGTCCTCTCACAATCCAATAAATATAACAGTGAAAACTCTTGAGCTCAGCAGGTAAATTCTACCTTTAATTATACCCACTAAAGACAAGAATTTTAGATAAGGCACAGAAGTACAAAAGTTTAAAAAAGGAAAAAAAAAATCAGTCATGCATATGCTCATTAAAAAAATACCTAACAGTTTCAGGTTTATTTTGCAGCAAACACATCCTGTTATGGGTTTCAATTCTCTCCTTTCAATACAAGAAATCTAACTTAAGTATAACGAGTTTTATTAATTAAAAATACATACTTTTTTTTTTTTAAATATTCCTAAAAGTATGTGATCCTTATTTAAGCTCCTGTTGAATGTATTACTAAGTGGGCTGAGTACAGAACAATGCCAAAGGATCCCGTACCCTCTTGGCATATAGGAGTATAATTTTTTTTTTTTAAGTTTCCTTCTGCTCTTTAAACCTTTTTCCTTGCAAAAAAGTACACTAATGGTAGCTTCTATTGAGGCACAGATTACCGAAACAATACTTACTGCGCTACCTAGTAAATTAACTAAGCACCCCATGTTTTTCATTGATTGAAAAACTTTGAATATTAGAACAGAGGTGATCAAACAGATGGTCTGCGCAAAACCCCTTATGTTTACTCTCCTGTTAGGACTTCGCTATCCATATTCACTGAGAGCTGAAAAATCAGAGTTGCTTTTGAAAACTTTTCCCTTTACTACAGATTTTCAATTGTGACAGAGATAACTACTTTACCAGGTCATTACAGCTTTGGAGTAGGCTTACAAAACATGCAACTGCAGGGAAGAACTTTGCCTGCCTGCCAAGTGGTCCTGACTTAACTCCCCCAGACATTTTAGAAACAGAGCATTTTGCAGAAGGTCAGGTTTTCACTCTAATCATTTGCACAGCTAAGGGAAAGTCTCAGTTCCTCAGATGTCTGGTCAGAGCTTCAGGCTTTTTCTGCGTTTCAGACAGTACGAGATACCCCACTTGGAGCATCTCGTATAAACAGCCAACTACTCATACCGTGTCACCGACCGGCATTTATACGCAGACTGGAAGAGACATCATGCATTACTAAGAGCAGCAGTTCATCCCTGCTAATTCCTCACTCCCCCTCCCCAAGCAGGGCCTTCCTTCTGTACCTCTGCTATAATACAGCTGCTGTTGGCTCTCGCAGAATGTTTATGCTACTAAAGATAATTACTATCTTCAAGAATTCATCCAACGGACAACTGGTTGGCCCCCTGACCCGACTCCTTCTGCCAGCCTTTTTCTAAAACTCGGAGTTATGCCGCCGTTTTGTTTTGGGCTGTTGTACTGTAGGTCTGAAAAGGTCTTTCTGGAGGTAATTACTTTCCGTTCAGAAACACTAGGCGTTGTTTGAACTGTCCGGTTCAGAAGGCCTGTCATGCAGGGAACGATACTGGTCTGACGCTTCCTGTCCAAGAACAGATCCCCTCTGCCAATCCAAACAGTTTAGCTAATCAATGAGAAATGATTTACAGGATGACAAATTCTGCATCATCTCGATGCAGAGCCCGGGCAGTTTCTAATGTCACCACATTTTCCATGTTACCAGTCAAACCCACGTTCTTCTTACCAGCGTGGGGGTAAACTGCTTACTTTCTTGTCTTCAAAAAAAGCCTGCCCTGAGGAAGCAGCTATCATTAATACAGCTTCTTTCCATTTACTTCCAGAAATCGGCAATATCTTGTGTTCTCTTCACCTCCTTCAGATGCCCTCTCACGTTACAGCCCCATCCGTAAGGGCTCCAGACAGATGCCATCAACGCTGCTTCCTGTTGGCCACGGCGGAAGCGACAGGATACACTTAAAGGGGAAAAAAATATTATTTCTGCCAACTGCAATTCAGCCTAAGCCTAAAACAAAATCTAGGCCTTCCCCCACGCTAATACCCACCACCACTGTTAAGCAGACGTGGTCCACCAAGACAAAACGGTCTTTCCTAAGAAAGCTTTTTTCTGAACCAGTAAACCTGAAGGGATTCTTCTTTTTCATGAAAATGCAATTTTCATGCAATTTTGGAGGCTATCACTGCAACCTGTTCCAGCAGGGAAGGGAGTACAGAGGCTGACTAGTTTAAAAAGATGACAGTAAGATATCTAGGGCTTTGCTTTAAGTAATGAAAATGCTACAGAGAAGCAAAGGAGGAGATCTGATAGCTAATGGTTTTTTGTTTCCAGTACAAGGCAGCAACTTGAGAAACGAAGCCAAAAAAGTACCTTGGCTTCCCTCACCCCAAAGGCAGGCAGGTTCATTCCCTTTCTTACTGAGGAGGAGACTCCAGTCTGTGCTGACAACTGCTCCTGATCGCAACACCCCACCAACCAGAAATGCTCCGATCAGCCCTCTCACGTCAGCCTGTGCGTGTACAGCATTTGCTCTTTCCTACTTGCTTTTAACGGTTAAGCATTGGTTTTAACTTAAAACCAGAAGCTTTAGCTACATTTAACTTCTTAGCCCGTCTGGTTAAGAACCTATTTCTGTGGATAGTTTGTCACTCATCTTCGTCCCACTAGAAAGTATTTGTGGTTACGTGGTCATTTCCTGTGTCTCCAGGACCAAGGGGGAGCTAAACCATCTTGTCTTGGGAGCAAAGTAACGCGTTTCACTTTAATTCTATATAAAGTTACACCAGAGATAAACAATGGCAGAGCTGTTGATGAGTTTTACAGGTTTAAGTTCTCACATGCTCAATTTCCTTTTAAAGAGGCGACATGTTGCTTCAAAGAGCCTCCCACCTGACCAGGGGACACTGAGTCTGCAGCTGTTTCCACTAAAGATCAGCACCTCTAGGCCAGGCTTTAACTTCATAACAATAAAACATGAAAGGTTTATCTTACAATAAAAACAAACGAACATGGAAAAGCTAAGGGCTTGATCCACGCTGGGCACATTTTCCCTCCTCTCCTTGCATGACAGACTCTTTGGAGGAAAAGGCCGCAGGAAAGAGTACAACGCATTTTTCACCTCCTCTGACAGTTTAAAATGTTTAACTAGAAAAACAGTCTCTTCCACTCTACATCTATCACTTCAGCTTAAACTTATTTACAGCCAGCGTCAACAGGGGACAGGACAGTTCTGCGGACATCTCACTCCCGCTCTCCAGTAAGCGTCCTGGCCGTACAGACCAGCACAGCCACATGGAATTGGTATTAGGCAGAAAGCCTGGTCTCCAAAACTTTTTCATTCTACTTTTTTGGCTTGTACACCTTCTAAGAAAAACGTCACAGTACCTCAAATCAATCTAACACACAGAAGAGCACGCGCCGTATACCCAACAGGACATCATAAAAGTGTCTCGGAGAGAAACACAAATCTTCAGGACGGGCTCCTGCCCCATAAGAACGTCTGGTAAAAGCTTTTTCTATAAATTTAATCAACAGTCCCTCCAACAGCGATACTACACGATTCTTTCCTAGGCTACCCGAGTAGCTATGGGCTGAAGCAGCTACTAAGACTGCCACACCTATATACACTTTTCTTCAATAGCTTGAAACTTAAAATAGAAGCATTAAAACATGGTTGTTGACATCTGGCAAATGTGTTGCTGTTACTATAGCAGCTGGAAGTTTTTCAATTACTTGATCTGATGACAAAAAGAAAACTATTATTTTCCTCTGCCATTCCTTACACACAAACACAAAATAGAGAGCTTCAGCCTCCTCTCCCCTCAGATTCTGTTAATTTACAATTAAAAGAACTAAATTATTAAAATAAACTGAAGAAGGAGCTCCTGGAAGATGGCTTCTTGTTCTAAGAAAATAGCAACCACTTTGTACAGACAAAACCCTCTAAAATAGGTCATGGACTTGTCCCAACAGAGAAGATTTCTACCCAACTAGAAAGACAGCTTCCATCAGGATCAAGAAAATCTATCGCGCTCGGTTAGTTTCTCTCTGGGGACAGTGGCAGCCAGAGCTTCAAGGTCCAACATCTCATCCATGGGCCTGATGCACTGGAAGTTTCAAATGATCATCAGCTCAGTCCAGCACTAAAATTTGCTTTAGGTAAGGAAACACCCAAGAAAAGTTACAATCAAAACAAACGAAAACCACAAGCATCTCTCAAATGATATTCTCCCTCCTGTTGTAGGGTGTCCTGTCCTGCCCACCTCCAGCCCCACTTTAAGAAGATACAGACACAACTGTTGTTCAAAAATGGTGAGGAGATCCTTCTCCATACACCAGGACGTTTATAGGCCAGCACTTAGCACCAGTTAGAAATCCAAGACCATGAA